AACGGAGGATTCAAAATTAGTGAATCCTCTGTTCTGCAGAGTACGTGAACTTGGATGTTCTTCGAGTTTCCGTGCTCCAGAACACGAGAGCTATAATTTTTTTAATTTTTTTTTCGAAATTTTGCTAGATCTAATTCTAAACATGTGTTTTTACCTAAATTGGAAATAAAAATAATTAAAAGTAGTAGGATATCGAAAATTTACCTGAATCGAGCCTCGTTTGTATGGTTTGAATGTCGAAAAAATTTACGAAATTCGAATTTCTAAAGAGAGTTTGGGAATAGGAGAAATAAATTGAAAAAAAAATTAAATGAAAAAGATACCGCTGCAAATAAGCCAATTTCAGTAAAAGTTCCACTGCAAATAGTAACACCCTTAAAAATAACGGTAAATTACAACCACCCTTAAGGTATGGTTAAATTACGAAAACTCCCATCTTGTTTGGATAATTACAACTACCTCCCCAACTTTTCAAATTTAGTGAAATCTTCGAGATTATATGAAATATTATCACCTTTGTACCCATTTTATCCCAATCGAACTCTACATTTTGAAGAAAGATGATCATAATATGTGTTTTTTGGCTTGCATATATCAAATTCTGGTGCATCAGAAATAGTATTTTTACACAAAATGAGTACAAACAAGAACACATTCCACGAAATCTCGATGAACATGTTGAATTTGACACCATAAGGGTGGAGGTGTAAGAAAAAATCATAGTTGAGGGGGTAGATGTAATTATCCAAACAAGAAGGGTTTTTTTTTGTATATTGACCATACCTCAGGTGGTGTTTGTAAATTACCCTTAAAAATAAAATAAAATTGGGTGAATTACGTTTTGCACCCAGGAATTAAAGTGTTTGGCGTTTTGCACCCTATAATTTAAAAATTGGCAATGTCGATATATATCGACGAAATTAATTTTGTTGCCAATAATTATATTTTAGCAACGAAACATAGTATTTGTGGCTAAAGAATAATGTTTTTGTAACAAGATATTTTTGTTGCTTTTGAATCTCGTAGCTAGGCAACTAAACATATTGTTGTTGCAAAAGAGTATTTCTTTTTGCTACGACATAAAATTGTAGTAATTAGTAAATACATTTACAACGGCAATAAATTTAACTTTGTTGTGAATAAGTGACGAAAGACAACGAAATATTTTGTTGTAAATGCTCCAAGTGATTTGACAACAAAATATAATCGTTGTAAATTTAAAAACCAACTTTTTTTCTTGATTTTAATTTTATTTATATATATATATATATATATATATATATATATATCAGTGTTCTAAAAATCGGTCGAGGCGGCCGATTAATCGGTCTCCGAGGCGGAGGAGGTCCAAAACCTTTACGATTTTAGTATAAAGGTTTGAAAAATCGGTTTTTTGCCTGTGAGGCGGTCTGAGGAGGTCAAACCTTTAAGGCGGGTCAAACTCGGTAGCAAAAATCGGTCAAAAAATCGGTTAAAATTTTTTTTTTTTTTTTTATAATTCAAAATAAAAGTTGAATTTTAATAAAAGAAAATATGAGTTTATGCCTTATTTTGTTTATGTTAATTGTTTTTGTTAAAGAACTAATGATGTATGCCAGGAATGTTCAAGAATAAATGTAAATTCAAAAAAAATGTTTTTAAGGATATTAATTTCTTATGATCTTATGATTATTAAACTTTTATTATGTTATTAGGATATATACATGATGGAGATATAACTATGTTTAAATATCTTTTTACATATGTTTGGAGTATTTATAAATAATGTTTAGAAATATATTATATTAAAGTTAAAAAAACGATTTATTTCCGATTTATCACCGATTAATCATCGCCGCACCGATTAATCGTGAGTCGGTGCCTGACCGACTCGGACCCGATTACCGCTCTTTACAACCTTGATATATATATATATATATATATATATATATATATATATATATATATATATATATGATAAGAAAAATCTTATTTGTTTATATTATCCACATTAACTCATGAATTTTTCGTTAAGTCAATTGTTGTTATGATTTTAAAAAATTACTATATATAATTAATGGTAGATGTTATATTTATAATTAAATTTTATTGTAAATTATTTTTTTAACATAAAACACATATATTAAATTATTTGTTATGACATATTATTTTTTTATATAGTTATTTTAATCATTTGACCCTGTCTATTTAGTTTTTATAAATTTGTTTTCAGTCAGTTTACAAATGTAGTGTTGCCCCAGTGGTTTGAAGGGTCTCTAACTTCAAATCAACCAGAGTTCGACTCTTACTATTGTCATGTCTCCATATATTTGACATTTATCAATAAATGTATTGGCAATTCGTTGGTAGTAATCAAAGAATTTGCAACGATAAATGTATGGCAACAAAATAGACTCGTACTTATTACTAAATGCATTGACAACGATCAATATGTAGCAACGACATAACAATGTTGTCTATAATTCATTATTGGCAACAATTTGTACATTTCGTTGCCCGGAACTTTCGGTAACAAGGAAACGGCAACGAAGGTGGCAACAAAATAATTCTGTTGTAAGAGGAATCGACAACGAAATTAAAGTCTTTTGGCAACAAAACATATTATTGCCAATTTGACAATTTCTTGTAGCACCCTTACAAAATATATCTCATGGCAAAATTTACTCTCCCCAATTATTTTGTGATATTTTTGCCAAAACTCAATAATATATCATGATATTTACACATTTGAAGAATTTTCATTCACCAGAGAAAACAAAATTAATCATAAAATAGAACGCCACAATAGATCTATATGAATAGAATAACCAAATTTAGGAAGTGAAGTATAATTTTAAATGCTAAATATCATTGTAAAACTTTTCGAATAAATAATAGAAAGAAAAAAAAAATAGTGAAAAACATCACTCTGACGATGATCGATAGTTTATATTTAATTTATTTATCTAATAAAATTCATTTAAATAATCAATTGGATTACAAATTTAGTACCAAAAAAATTATATATATGATAAAACAATCAAAGTAAAAGTGAGTGTATTTTATAAATATGATAATATTTTTGTCCCAAAATTAATTAAGAGGTTTGAGTTCGCAAAAAAAATCACTTCCAATATACATTGAACACCTTAGTAGAAGCACCAAACAATAAATATATAAATCAATAAATAATTCTTCACTTTTTCGTCCCCAAATCAATTATGATTTGATGGTCTATACTTAAGTAGTAGTGACAAAAACTTTTACAAATATACCACGCTGAAATGCTTTTCATAGAACAACTTTTATTGGCTTGCAGTGCGACTTTATTTTATTTGTAACTTTTCTTAACAAAATTCAAAATTCTCTCAAACCCTATCCAAGTTCTTCGAGTTCTTGCGGATTAAACGAGCAATTCAACAACGATTTAAGGTAAAATTCGAACTCGAAATCATTGACCCAATATTTTTATAGTAGTATATTAACAAATTTCGTCGAAAATCTATACGTTTTGAGTATTTTGAAAACATTCGAAAGTTTTCGGAAATAAAGTTACATTTCGTGTAGAAACTCACGAAATTAAGGGGCTAATTTCGTGAGTTTTTACACGAAATAATCGTATTTGTTTGTTTTTCTTACGTTTCGTGTACAATTACACGAAACAC